GATGTGGTACTTCAGGGTATGGAACTTTTTATTCCATCCTCTTTGGTGCCAATCGGAGGCAGATCCCAGCCATGGTTTGGTCGCTCCTGTAAAATAGCATCACGCTATAAGCAGGAGTGCTACCGGGCCTGGGCTGACGCATCAATGTCTCGGGATGTAAACACCAGCGCACTTAAAAAGAAGTATAGTTCCGCCTCCAGGTCCTTCAAAAGCATCATTGCCAAGGCAAGGTCTGAGCACATCGGCAGAATTGGCGAGAAGCTAGTTCGCCTTCCTTCGGGAACCCGTGCATTCTCGTCTCTCGCCAAGACTGTCGAAGGGAACTTCTGTCAGCCATCTCTTCCATCTCTACACAGAGAGGACGACTCACTGGCCCATGCCGCAAAGGAGAAAACCGATCTGTTGAGCTCTCTTTTTGCGTCCAACTCGACTCTAGATGACGGGGGGAACACACCGCCGACTATCCCGCGTTTTGAGTGCTCCATGCCGGATGTGCGATTTACACAGCGCTCGGTTCGCAAAGCACTCTTCTCCCTGGACGTCAGCAAGTCGAGTGGGCCCGATGGAGTCCCTCCCATCGTGCTGAAGACGTGTGCTCCGGAGTTGGCACCGGTTTTAACGCGTCTTTTCCGGTACTCCTACTCTCAAGGCGTAGTCCCGAATTCATGGAAGACAGCTTTGGTCCACCCGATCCCTAAAAAAGGCGACCGCTCAGACCCGTACAACTACAGGTCTATTGCCATAACCTCCTTGTTCTCCAAAATAATGGAATCCATTCTAAACTGCCAGCTCATGAGGTACCTTGAGGATCACCAGCTGATTAGTGACCGCCAGTACGGTTTTCGTCGGGGTCGATCAGCTGGTGATCTTCTAGTCTACTTAACTCATAGATGGGCGGAGGCAGTAGAGTCCAAGGGGGAAGCATTGGCCGTTAGTTTGGACATAGCGAAGTCCTTCGATCGGGTCAGGCACAAAGCACTTCTTTCGAAGCTTCCTTCCTATGGGCTTCCCGAGAAATTGTGCAAATGGATCACCAGTTTCCTTGCTGATCGGAGCATCAAGGTCGTAGTAGATGGTGCATGCTCTGATTTCAATCCTATCAACGCTGGTGTTCCACAAGGCTGCGTGCTATCACCAACGCTGTTTCTCCTGCATATCAATGATATGTTGCTAACTGGTAGCATTCATTGCTATGCAGACGACAGCACATGGTGATGCCTTATATACCGGCCGTGCCAATATTTATCGGGATAACGTAGCCGAGTACCGGGACGAACTTGTGTCTGAAGTCGAGTCTGTGCTTAACAAAGTTTCAGATTGGGGCTGACTAAATCTAGTCCAGTTCAATCCCCAGAAGACACAAGTTTGCGCGTTTACCGCTAAAAAGAACCCCTTTGTCGTATCTCCTCAGTTTCAAGGCACTTCCCTTGCTGCCTCAGCCAGTATCGGAATCCTTGGCGTCGACATATCGAATAGTGTGTAGTTTCGTGGTCACTTGGAAGGGAAGGCCAATTTGGCCTCTAAAAAGCTTGGCGTGCTCAGCAGAGCGAGACGTAATTTCATGCCGGCACATCGCTTGCAACTCTACAAAGCGCAAGTTCGGCCTCACATGGAATACTGTTCTCATCTGTGGGCCAGGGCACCCCAGTGCCAGCTCCTTCCACTTGACCGCATCCAGCGCAGAGCGGTTCGAATCGTCGACGACCGAGTTCTTTCTGATCGGCTCGATACACTGGCACTGCATAGAGATATTGCATCGCTTTGCGTATTTTATCGCATCTATTACGGGGAGTGCTCTGAGGAATTGTTCGGACTAATTCCAGCCGCTCAATTTCACCATCGCACATCGCGACAAAACTCGCGTTACCATTGATACCATCTGGATGATTGGCGGTCCACCACTGTGCGATTTAGAAGAAGTTTTCTCCCTCGCACAACTTCCTTGTGGAATCGATTACCACCAGCGAATTTTCCGGACCGATACGACTTAGTAACCTTCAAGAAAAGAGCTTACACCTTTCTAAAAGGCCGGCAACGCAATTCCCCTGGTGTTGCGGTTGTTCATGGGTGGCGGTAGTCACTTACCATCAGGTGAGCCGCATGCTCGTTTGCCCCCTATTCTATAAAAAAAAAATTCTTTCCTCATCTTTATTCCACAGAGGCGCTGCAAAATGAACTCGATGTGCTTTTCTTTCCTTTAGACGGGTCATCATAATTGCTGCCCATAACACAGGGTTTTTTTTTAAATATTTGTTATATTCTAGCTCGCTAGACAAACATCGGGACGTCAAACTCAGTCCCTACCGTGATCATGGGTGCTGTAAATCACTCCAAACGTTGGGAATTCAAAAGTTAAATTTAACGCGATAGAATCCATAAAAATTAGTTTCATTTAATGTGTAGTCTTCGCGTAAATATAAGAAATCATTATGTAAAATTTGCTTTAAAATTTATGACTTTCAAGAAAACATTTGCCTTTATATTAATTTTCTAACGTAAATTATTTAGTCAAAAATTTTATAATGTTGTAACTTAATAATGTTTCTGTATAGTTTGTTAAAATAATTCTTAGATGTAGACAAAAACACGTTTTTGAAATATCGTATTTCATTCACGTCGAACAGACTTATCGATTTATAATCGCTATATATAATTAAGTTGTCCTTTATTATTATTTTTTTTTATCAAATTTCGCTATTTGCCCCTTAACTCTTTGTAATATATTTGGCTCAAATAATTGGATTTTTTTGTGTGGTAGGTGAATTGGGATTTAATACCATAAATAGTGAACGGTAAAGTCGGGAAGGGACGCCCTAGACGAAGATTTATCGACCAAATCGGCGATACATTGAAAATGGGCCAGATTAGGAGTACCCTTAACCGACGAGCGTGTATGCGTAAATATATGGATGTAAAGGTAGCGAGAGAGGTGTGTCAGGATCGCGCCAAATGGAAGTCCGTAGTCTCCCCTCTGGGTGACAGGCGTGAGTGTTTGTATTTGTATATTTTGTATTTGTTGTCATAAATACTCTTAAGCGAATCCAGTTGAAGGCATGGATCTCACGAGCAGCTGCTTTGCACTTGGTTTACTCTCTGTAGTACCGTACCAAGTCAGCAAACTGCTGATTAGTTTTGAGCAGCACATAACATAGTTACAACATTGTTTATTTTTCACAATACAAATTCATCTCGGGGGTACCCCGTTTAGAGCCGGGGTGGCATCAGAGGCAGCTGAACTGAGTAAGTGGCGCAAATATGAGTCTCTGAGAGATGACTACACATTTGTGCCATTTGCTGTAGATACTATCGGTCCGTGGGGTTCACGTACGGTGAAGTTCCTAAAGGAACTCCAGCCGCGGCTGGTCGTTGCTGCTGGTGATAAGAGGGCTGATTCTTTTCTCGCTCAAAGGTTAAATATAGCTATTCAGCGGGGAAACGCAGCCAGCGTTCTTGGCATGATACCGCGGTGAGTAGGATTATATGATAATTAAGTTTGTAGTTTTAGTTTTTTTTTTTTTAATTATTATTAAAGTTTTTCATATTGTATATAATAAAATACAAATTCGCTATGCAAGAACTCCATATTTTTTTAATTACAGTAATTTTGAACCCCTCTTCTCCTCCTTTTAGTGCATATACATTTTAACATTACTAAGTTTTTGAAACGTATCATTGTATGGAAAAATTGGGTTATCTATATACATGATCGGTTTTTAAAATAAATTTCGCTTTATAAGTATATACATATCTACACAATTACCATTTGAAGTGTAATAGTGATGTAGTGTATGAAATTGAAAGTGGTTTAATATAATGAGACCATGGTAGCTCAGAGGCAATGCGCTCGCTGTATATTTCATAGTACGCGAGCAACCCGGGTTCGATACCCGCCGGCACCAATGAAATTGTTACTTGCAATTTTAAGTGCCGATTTACCATATGATCGGCGATAAAGGAAAACATTATGAGGAAACCTGCATGTCAGAGAAATAAGAAAAAATATTACGAAAATATATGAAGTTCGCCAACACGCATTCAGATACAGACGCCGCTCAGATATGAGAGAAAGCCTATTGGGCACAGGAGGACATATTAGGCTATAATTTTATTGTGGTAAGGTTTAAACCGAATTAATTACTAACGCACCTGGCTTCAAAACAATCGAAGAAAACGAGTTAGTGAAACGAGGTGTTTTTATTGCCCTTTCTTATGTAAGGAGGGTTTTACATAAGGGAAGGCAATAAAAATACTCTACGTATTTGCCAGTAAATGAAAATTTCCAGAAAAATCTTATAGCTTACCAGTTTGCTTACGCCAGGCGTGAAATAAACAGACCGACGATGGGAAGCAGCGTTAATGGTTGCGATACGATCGTCAAACCACCTGACGAGTGTGGTGATTAAGTCAAATTCTCTCTACCACAGAAGAGATCCATTTTTAGCAGTGGACTATCACGGGCTATAAATTTGATTCAGATTTGAGTTAGTAAGAGCTTAACTATCTACTGTGGTACGTTTTTAAAAATAAACGTTTGTATAAAGACTTATAATTGGAGTGTCCAGTTTAGCAATTTGTAAATTCATTATAGTATTGTTTGTTACCAATACATCTAGAATGACAGTGGCTATTTACTTGGGGACGATGGCATGAAAACCGACAGTGCGTGCCTCACTGAAAATTCACGTGCGTCGCGTAAAAGCCTAATAATTAAGTGCAGGGACAGTATACTCGGAAAGTCGTGAGTTTGAATCCACCATTCGAATACAGTCGTCAGCCACTCCTAACACAAGGATTTTAACACTTTCACTGTCCGGTTTCAAGACACAATAGTAAGACAATAGTAATGATCTATATGTAGTGCACGGGACAGCGAAAGGGTTAAGCTCTCTTACAGTGTGTTTTAACATTACCATTACTAATACTCCCAGTATTAGTAATGTTAACAGTGTTACTAATATTAAAAAATATATTTGCCCGAGTATTCTTGTTGTTGCTCACAGATCATAGAAGCGCTGCATTTCTTGCACTACACCGCACGCCAGGTACACCGCAACGTGTGCCCCCAGGTGATAATAGTCACAAAGCGTGGCACGTGGAAATTATTTGGACTGGAATTTGTCGGTAAGCTAAAACGGTACCTTTAAGGAACTTGCGAGATATTAAACAAGTGGGAAGAATAGTAAATAAACATCGCAACTATTCGGAAACACGAGAGCAGCAAGTTTAAACTTAGCTAATTGAATACTAAATTTAATTTTAAATTTAACTTATCCATGTGATTCAATTTGTAATAAAATTTTGTAACTCCATATTCGAATAAGCTTTATGAATATGCTGAATTCGCTCAAAAAGATTTTCATACAATTATGTTAATTTCGTTACTCAGTTTCTTTGAGACACAGTTAACGACATAATGTTCTTAAAATATCTCATATTTATTTTGATATAAACCTAACAATATTATATTTGGGCCTTTTATTTTGCAATTTTAATACGTTTGTCAAAGAAAAATAATTGCTTTACTAAGAAGTGATAACTAAAACACACAGGGTTTGCAGATTTAGTTTCCAAAATAGTTTCAAAACGGTGGTCGCGTTGTAGGGCTTGCTTTAAATTACTGATATGATTACATTGTTTTGGGGTTTTATATATTGAAATATACTTTTACTGCAGTTTCGATTGGAAACAGTAGAATCAGAATTAATTATACTTTATTATAATTGAATCGATAAGACCAAGGAACTTAGTTGAAACTGCGACACCAAATGTTTCACATACCACTGTGGGTAAATACACGTTTGTAATTATTCGGGTATAGGTAAGTTGATAAACAAACACACACGCACACACACACACACACACACACACACACAGAGAGAGAGAGAGAGAGAGAGAGAGAGAGAGAGAGAGAGAGAGAGAGAGAGAGACAAACTCACACACACACACACACTTGTAAACTTAATTTAAATCCATTATTGTCATTGTACGAGTAAGATATTAAATTGTGAATGCTCTGATTTCCTATAAAATAATATGAATCTAATATCCTTTTTAACAGAGGACATCATTAGCTCGGACCCAATAGAAATGATAGCGGTACCACCGTGGTCGATTAAGGTTGCTAAGCTGTGCCAACCAAATCTTGATTTTCTCGGTATGTACAACCAATATTCTGTAATAAAACGGAATAATTTTGTTTCAAAAATTAATACAAACAACCCATATTGAAAATTAATTTTCTTTTAATCAAAATTATATAATGTTGCTCAATTAACCGTTATAATTTTTTTGGTCTACTTCCCTGGAGGAATTATTAACCAAGTATTTATTACGACCAAGTTAGAAATAGTTAGATGCGGGTGGCCTAGAACCGTGCTATGTGGTGCGTGATAGATTGCCGTGAAATACGGTCCTGAGACATCTGCATCCATCGACTACTCGCATATTTCATCGGATCGTTACTCCATCTAGTGGCTGTTACCCAATATTTCATTTGCTACGTGATTGTCATTCAAGAAATTTATTCATCTTAAGGTCTATTAGTTTCGAGTAAGCTGCGAGATAATGGACGGTTTTCAATTCACTGTCACGGCACCGGCATTGCGTCGGATCTGGCAACGGCTCGGCTGCCGGGGAAACAAAATTGTTTAAAATGTATGAAATTTATGGCATGTCTTTCTACTTACCGACGCCGGCACCAGAGCCGTCGCTGGTGCCGAGACAGCAAGCTTCCCGTTCGGTGCCGGTCGGTAAAACTGCATGTGTATGTGTTGTGTGTATGTTTGTGTGTGCGCGGGCCGAGATAGAAGTGATGTGTTGAGATTGAGACTCAAAATTGACTTGTGAAATTGTGAAATGTCTCCTTGTTCATGCGGAAGTAGTTGAAATAATTTTTGGAGTTCATTTTCAATTTTCAAAATAGGGCATAATACGTTCCTTCTAACTATATTTTTTTTAAGATTGGATGAATTCAAAATTTTACTTCTCTGTGTCGATTATATTTTTTACTTAAATGTAATAGATATAACAAACAAATACGATGACTTGACGAGACCATGTTTACGTGTTGGAGAACTGAAGTTTGTGTTAGTGTGGTAGTCCGTGCCGGTGCCGTGCCGGTGAGTGAAAAACCGCCCAACATATAGGAGACACTGTTGTGTTCCTTTTCATTCGTAAACGATATTTAGATTTTAGACGCAACTTTTATTTAATTTTTAGTCCCTTTCGTATGCAGAACATATAATATATGTGGTTGCTAAAATATTATTTTTAAAGTGTAATGAATATTATAAATAAAATTTTTTTTAGCTCCCGAAGTGCAAACCAACGGGCAGTGTAACATACTCTCGGATATGTTCTCTTTGGGCTTGGTAATCTGTGCCGTCTTCAACAGCGGCAAGCCGCTCCTGCAGGCCAATAATAATCCGATGTTGTATATGAAGCAAATAGAATACGTAAGTATTTAATTTATTATTATTTACTATCTGACAATGTATATTTATTTTAAGTTCATTTTAAGTATAACACTATGTTAACGTGTTGAACTTGCCTTCTATTTCTTTTATAGTATTACGGTGATAAACGAGCACACAGTCCACCTAATGGTAAGTGGATGTTGCCACATAAATATCTACAGTTGTGTCTCGCCAGCAACGCAAAGTTGGGAATTGGCATTTGGAAAAATCCAAAATTAGGGGCTTTTTAGGTGCTAATTAGGTGCCAAGTTTAAATATTAGGTGCTCTAAAATTTTCACCGCAATGAACGATTGAAATTTGCGCTGCTGGCAAAACGTATCGCTAGCAACGCAATGAAGTTATTAGATATATGATAAATATGAATAGCTAAGAATTAAGTGCTAATTAGGTACTGCAAATATAGGCAATGACAAGGCGCCCCTAATAAAAATAAAGTTGTTACTCAGAACAAAGCAGATGCAAAATTCAGGTTTTCTGAAAATCAGAATAGAATAAGCCCAAATTAGGGGCTTTTTAGGTGCTAATTAAGTACCAAATTTAAAAATTATTTGCTCTAAAGTTTTCACCGCAACAAACGATTGAAATTTGTGTTGCTGCAAAACGTATCACTGGCAACGCAATAATGTTATTAGATAAACGATAAATATTAATAGCAAGGAATTAAATGCTAATTAAGTGCTGAGCGATTATCGAAACCTGATACAGATTAAGATATTATTTTGGGAATTATAGGGTCCACAACCACCATTACCTTACCGTAAGGTATGAACAGCATTTTATGTACTTTATCAGTGCTAAAAATAAAGTGCTAATTAGGTGCCAAGTTTAAAAATTAGGTGCTTTAAAATTTTCTCCGCAACGAACCGTTGAAATTTGCATTGCTGGCAAAACGTCTCGCTAGCAACGCAATGAAGTTATTAGATATACGATAAATATTAATAGCAAGGAATTAAGTGCTAATTAGGTGCTGCAAGTATAGGCAACAACAAGGCGCCCCTAATAAAAATAAAGTCGTTATTCAGAACAAAGCAGATGCAAAATTCAGGTTTTCTTAAAATCAAATTAGAATCAAAATTGCTTTTAAAAAAGCCCAAATTAGGGGCTTTTTAGGTGCTAATTAGGTACCAAGTTTAAAAATTAGTTGCTCAAAAATGTTCACCGCAACAAACTGTTGAAATTTGCATTGCTGGCAAAACATATCACTAGCAACGCAGTGACGATAGATATACAATAAATATTAATAGCAAGGAATTAAGTGTTGAAAGATTATTGGGGTCGGATGTAGATGACGGTAATATTCTGGGAATTATCGGGTCCAGGACCACCGTTACCTTACTATAAGCTATGAATTGCTATAAGGTATGAATGGCATTTTTTGTTCTTTATCAGTTATATATTATAGATAAGATTTGCTACGCAAGGGCGTAGGGGCTGCACTCCCCGCAGCGCCGAAGCCGTTGCAGAAATAACTATGTCAATATTCCTGCAACGCAAATTTCAACAATTCGTTGCGGTGACAATTTTAGAGCAACTAAATTTTAAACTTGGTGCCTAAACAGCACCTAAAAAGCCCCTAATTTGGGCTTTTTTAAAAGCAATTTTGATTCTAAATTGATTTTAAGAAAACCTGAATTTTGCATCTGCTTTGTTTTTATTAGGGGCGCCTTGTTATTGCCTATACTTGCAGCAACTAATTAGCACTTAATTCCTTGCTATTAATATTTATCGTATATGTAATATCTTCATTCAATTTCAAATCTAATCAAAAATCAAATTCATCAAATTTTAACAGTTCGTTGCGGTGAAAATTTTTGAGCACCTAATTTTTAAACTTGGCACCTAATTAGCACCTAAAAAGCCCCTAATATTGGGTTTTTCTAAATGCAAATTCCTGATTTTGCGTTGCTGGCGATACACAACTAATATCTACATCTAACTTCAAAATAATCACTATCACTTCTGAGGACTACGATTGAATACCTCGTTTAAAGAAAAACGGTCTCCGGTTCTCTATTCTTGCCATTAGAAGCAAATCAGCATTATGGTGTTATTTTACGCTGGTATTCTGTGAAAGCGTGATCCTTACCCGGTCGAGCCCAACTATTCGTGCTACAAACATAATGCAGCTGCAGCATGGCTCTAACACATATAAACAGTATGAAAGTTTAAAGTGTTCGTTATAATTTTCGAACAGTAAGAGCTATTACGTGGGGTAAACTGAGTTTTGCGTTACTAATAAATAATACAATTTATATGTAAACTAATATATTTACTGCTTGTCGCAGTATTCTTTACATTTTATTTTTAGAAACATAAGGACCACGTGATAGTTGAAAAATATCACGGTCTCTTATTTCTCTTGCTTCATAAGTGTCAAAACTCTCATAAAATCTTTAATATGCAAAGTGATCGCATGGTGCGCGTTCTGGACTGTGTACTTCCACCTTTTTAGAAGTTTTTGGATGTCTTGTTCGCAGTGTGCGCCGAAGCATTGTCATAGTGCAATAGGATGCGATGATTTTTGGTCGTTTTTACCTACTTTTTTTAAAGACATTGCTCAGTGTCGACAAATGGTAGTGGCTACTGACATTTTTGCTTTGGATAACGTATTTCTTTGACACTTGATCATTAAATGAGTTTATTATGTTTAAAAAAATATATTATTCGAAATTCAAACATTAATCAGTGGCCAGGAGCGCGTTCCAGAATTATAATTGCATTGCAGACTATATTTGAAGCTTAATATTTCCAAAACGATGCGTAATTGCGAAAGGTTGTATGATATGAAACCTCATAATTATTTTGACACGGTTTTTAACGAAAAATAATTCTTTACCCCCGTCAACATATATTAACATAGCACGTAATATTGTTTCCTTACCTTAAAATCAAATTCGGCCAAAAACTTACTCTAATTTAATTTTAAGGATTTCCTTTGTGATAGCGAAAGTTTTTCATTTAGGTGCTAAGCTTAAAACTAACATCAGAAAAATATTTAAAATAAAATGTATCAATTGAGACATGGCATTCTTTTTCTTTCCTCATTCTCTTCTCCCTCCTCTTTCCTCTTCTTTCCTTAGGCACTTAAGACTGGAATCCACTGTTGGAGTTGAGCCTCTCCCGTATTAGGATTTGCCTTAATCGTCTCCCTTCGTATAGCATTCAGGATGAAATAATTCAGGAATTAAATAAATGGAATGAAACTATTATAATATAAAATAAGAGTCCATATTGTCGTAGAGCAATGAAATGCGTGGGCTTAAGTGTAAATGATGTTGTATTCTATTTTAACTACATTGCTTTTCATTGAGTATACGAAATCCTAAAACAATTCAAATGTAACACGTTCCATTTTCATTATTTAACAGTTGTTTCGTATCTAGGTCGTTTAGTTTTACAAGCTAAACTACGTTTTAATTTCTTCAAGCCATTCTCGATTTATATCGTTTGTGAGAAGCATACAAAGCCGGTTGGCGTAGTGTCAAAAACTGCTTATGTTTGTATTATTTCTTTTATGTTTGGGAACTACCATTTGATATAATAAATAACATGTGACATTTTAGAGAAACTAAAGGAGAGTTCTTCAATATAGGAACTATTCCTAACAGGCAGGTAATATAAGTGAGTGATTGTTGAAATGGGTGTAATGTAATATATTTGTGTTTATGCTATGCTAGTGTTGGCTGTTACTACGGAACCTTAAAATTGACTTCGAGATTTTAATAAAATTTATATCGTTTTATGCATTATTGCGGTTGTTATAAGTTACATAATAGAAAATAATGATTTTTATTTAATATGGATGATAAAAACTTCTGTCATGGGAAGAACCGGTAAAGATTCACACGGACCTTTTTTACAATGTAACATTATTCAATAAAATAGACGTTGTACAATTAATTACAAAACTCATTTAAGAAACTGTTTGGAAGCGATCATCTCATTCCCAGGGGTTTTTATCAACCATGCATTCATTTATATTATAATAATAACCATTTTTGTACAGTCTTTGTTTAGTAAAAACAATTAAACTTGATATTCTGGAACTTTGTTGTAAAAGCCTATACATTGCCCCTTTTTTTCTTTTTTTTTAACATAAAATTAATAACAAACTAAGACTAAATTAATGACAAGCAGATTAATTTACCTGCCAATTTACCATAAGTCGACCACAGATTCAATTTTAATAATCTTGAAACAATATGGTTTCCTTTTCAAAACAGCACACAACGTTTATATATTTCACATCTGAAATATGATACTATTTATCATTAATAGCAATCATCTTACCCAAAGTACTAATTTAAAGCATATTGATCAGAGTAACTAATCAGGCTTATACACTCAATAATTCAACATACTTAATTAAAAAAACAAAAAGCTTTTGGTGTATTTAGTTGGATCAGCAAGTGAACGCCGTGCTTCCGCGTGTGCCGTGCGGTCTTCAAGAAGCCGTGCAACGTCTCCTGTCCCGGGACCCACATCCTCGGCCATCTACTCAACTGCTACCTTTGATAAAATACTTCAAGTTAGTTTTGAAATAATTATTTCTTTTAAGTTATGTCACTACACGATGCCTTGAACTTCAATTAAGTCTGCACTAAAAGTTAATGTAAAAAATAATTTAAATTCTAGCTCTCTTTCTATATATCTGTCCGCCAAAGTCTATCAAAAGTCAACTCTTAAACACAAGACTCCCTCATAGTTGCCACGCTTGGTAAGTGGGTTGGCAACCACAGGTTTTTTAATTTTATGCTGTTATAAGTAAGACGCTGCCACCTATTTTCTGGTTTGTTTTCCTCTTTTCTTTTGTTCTTTAAATACTATGGAGTTGTGGTTATTCTTACTATAATTCTTTTTTTTTGGTCATTTTTTTAAAAAACGTTCCATTTTAAATACATTAAATTCTAGACGTTCCATTTTAAATACATTAAATCTTATTTATTACAGGCTTTTAATTAAATTTCTTTCTTTGTATGTCTATGCGGTAAAAAAATATTGTAATCAATTTTTAAGCACTTTTCGACTGAGCTGAAATTCGGCATATTTATGTAACTTCGATTACAATGCAATGACATTTTTTTCTATAAAAAAACAATGCAGTTGATTTGTTGATGGACCCGCATGCTGGCACTAGTAACGCCAATAAAAACAGCTTGATTTTTGATTACATTTTATACTTAAGTTTATTTATTAGTGAGAAATTTATTTTTCTCTTGAACAGACTGAACAGATGCCAGATTCGAGGGTTAATGTTTTTTTTTTCTCTTGAACAGATGCCAGAGCGAGCCAGCTATCCAGGCAATGCAGTTTTTGGATGTGATAACTATGAAGGATCCCCAACAAAAAATAAACTTTTATCTAGTTGCTCTTATGGATGCGTTGCCGTATATACCAAAGGTATACATACGAATTAATAACATCATATATAAACAAGAACGTACTTATAATGTAGTTATTATAACAAATTCCTTTGTTTTCTACCTGGATTATGATATTACATGACAATATATATTTAACACTGTCGTTTTACTGTTTCTTTATACATAAGATGTTATTTTTAAAACTAGGAACCCACTATCATTACTAAAACTGCGCAGTTCTACCATTGTTATTTGACACTCAACGAAATAATCATTCTTAAATTATACTTGAAAAATTTTAAAAATGTTCAAGTTTTTGAGGAGAAAACATGGGAATACGGATTGATAATTTTAGCAAATTATCATACGTAGCTATAAACAGTCCGAGCTGCGTTTGTCCCTCTTAGTTACCTAGCTATATCGTATGAACACATCGTGACAGTAATAGATTACAAAAACTTATTCAACTTACTTTTTTTTTATAGGATCGAGTGACAAACGAGCACACAGTCCACCTGATGGTAAGTGGATGCTGTGGCCCATGGACATCTACATATATCTTCGTTTGCGAATCAAAACGCAGATGCGTTGTCACTCGTGAGGACTAAGATGGAATGCCTCTTTTCCAGTAAAAAGGGTCTCCGGTTCTCTGCACTCACCATACGAAACACAGCAGTGTTAAATTGCTATTTGACGCTGGTATTCTGTGAGAGCGTGGTCCTTCCCCGGTCGAGCCGACCCATTCGTGCTACAACTATACTACTAATATAGCTGCAGCATGGCTCTACAACGTAAAAAAACTACTTACTTGCAACCCGGATATCCACTTAAACGAATTTTTTACCTAATACGAGTAATCCATCATATTAGTATTATGGTTCAAGAAAAAAATATTTTAAAATACTGGAGAAGAACGGACTTTGGGAATTTTGTACGTCTTATCTTTTCATACTACATTTTAAACACATTTATATAATTATGCTAGCGAACTGCCCCGGTTTCGCACAGGTGATTTCTAAATCTTGACAACGTCACCACCTATCGAGTCCGACTATAGCTCAGAACTTTCCAATTGACCTCTTAGGTACCCCATAAAATTTTACCAAAATCGGTCAAATCTTTTATAAGGAGAAGAATAACGGATACCAAAATTTTTATATAAAGATATAACTTAGACCTCATGTGTGCAAATTTGAACAACAAAATTAAAGAACAATGACTTTGTCCGTCTTAGTTGTATATATTTTACTACTAATTCTCACTTGAATTACTGCATTAGGTCTGAAAAAAAGCAATGTTTTAGAAATTACGTTGGCAACATGTGTGGCCTGCACTGCAACTGGAGGTCAGGACTGCCGAAGTCCTCTATGCCGTAATGCAACCAATTGTCTGGCTTACTAACGAAGCCACTCCGGACGAATTTTCTCAATACGTTCTACCGACTCTGAAGTAAGTATCAAACACTAAATTATATTCTTATATACCAGAAAATTAAATCAAATGTAAGTTACAAGATATCAATAAAAATATTTTACAAATTGTTTATAAAATTTCTGAAATAACATTTATGAAACATTTATTCCTTTAGCGGACATTAAGTTAATATAATGGATCATTTTACAACAACGTTTAACTTGAATTGCTCCTTATTAGAACATTAAAGATTATTTACGGGCATTAAATTGATAATAGCAGTGAATTGGATATAAATTGATGTGAAAAGTAAAAGCCTATACAATACATTCATACGCACATACAATGCTACTATACATGTTCACATTGATGTGAAAAGTTACAAATCAAAAAAGATTCTAATCATTAATAAATAGACCTTACATTTACTTCGTAGTTTATAATTTTATACAAAGATTTATGTACATAATAATAATTATAATTATAGAAAACTGACAAATAAATATAGGCCACAAAATTGTAGTTACCAAAAAAAGAACTCGATTACCTTCTTTTGGGAAAATTTATAATTAAATTGGGTTTAGAGAGAAAATAAAATAAAATAATTATAACTTACAATAAAATTAGAATAATAGATGACGAGTGAAACAATAAAGAATATTAAAACAAATTTTATAAATAGAAATGAGTTTTACTTAAAATGTTTTAACGTAATTTAATTTTGCATTGTCTGGATTTTTCGGTAAGTTTTGTACGCAATGATTTAAATTTAATGAACGTGATGTAAGCAAAATGTTCTTATTAAGAAAATTTACTATATTTCTGGGTGTATTTCACCATAATGTAAAAAACAAAGATAAAATCTCCATTGAAAAAGCAAAATTTTTTCTTGGTTTGCCACAATTCCCAAAAAATGCAGGTAAATTTTATTAAACAATCGGACGTTGTCTTCGGTCTATAATATATTACTTAAAATATTAATAGCATGAATACCAGGCAACGATCTAGTTTGAAGCATTTAAATGTAGTCATCGGCATATTTACAACCCATCAAAGTCTTCCACCGAACATAGGTCTCTGCCCATAGATTGCCTCAGAGGGTGGATATCTTCATTAGTAATTATTAATCCCATCTAATATATAAAATTCTCGTGTCGCGCTGTTTGTTACCAAACTCCTCCGAAACGGCTGAACCGATTTGTATGAAATTTTGTGTGCATATCGGGTAGGTCTGAGAATCGGCCAACAGCTATTTTTCAAACCCCTAATTAATAAGGGTGGCCCATCCCTAATTTTTTATTTTTTTGACCATTTTTTTTATTTTTATTTTATTATGATTTAGCAAAGAAAAATACATAAATCTTAAAATTTTCACCCTTCTACGATCAACCCCTGTTTTTTAATCGCGATTTTTAAAACTAAAAAATATTTCCTAGAAATAATTTATATGGCAAAACAACGTTTTTCGGGTCAGCTAGTTTTACCACAATATTGATAACCGCAGCTTCTTTATTGTTTTGATTTCATATCAGGCAAATACTGCTGCCTACCTCTTGTTTCAGTTTCCCTCTGTCGCTTCTTACCGACACCTCTGGGATAATATGGGGTAGTAGATTCAATAACGCCACCACTACACGACAAATACAGCACTACCGACGATAGATATATTAGTATTATTTAGTCCTCATAAAGACATAACACCATATTACTCATTACGAATAATTACTGGTAAACAGAATCAAAGATGCAAGGCAATATTGCGCATTGCCAAAACAACCTGCCAAGCGTGTCAAATATGGCAGATCAAAATACCATCCTCACCATCTGGATGCTTGGCGGTCCACCATTGTGCGTTTTACTAGGAATGTTCTTCAACATACAACTTCTCTGTGGAATGGTTTACCACCGGCGATGTTTTCGCACTGATAAGACTTAGGGATATTCAAGAAAGGAGCTTACTCCTTTCTAAAAGGCCGGAAACGCACCTGCAATTACCCTGTTATTCATGGCTGCCAGTAGTCACTTACTATCAGGTGAGCCGCATTCTCATGTGCCGCCTCTTCTATAAAAAAAAAAAATATTTCGTGTATTCTATTTCGCATATTATTAAAGCTAAATCTGTTTATATTTCCGCCACCAAACAGCAGTGAACTGCTATGTTCTGGATTCAAAACCTGTAAAATTACGGGCTTTTAGACATTCCGCATCGAAAAAATCCATTAACAAAAATTAATTAATTTACTAGAAAAGTTATAATTTGTACACCCAAAACTGTTCACTTTTACGAAGATTAGGTAGAAAGTTTTATTAGTTATATCCGCAGGAATCTTATGAGTTCCCCGAAGAGTACTCAGGCCTTGGTCACAATTTTGGAGAACTTACATGTCATAATAAAGAAGTGCCAAAGGGACGAAGCCCAAACCGATGCAATGCCGCTGCTATTTGCCGCGTTGGATAACAACACCAACCAAATTCAGGTAAGCTGAATATGAATTTATCATTTTTAAAGCAATTTGTAGTTGACATACATTAACGTCAACATCGGCCCTTATGTAGCTATGTTGGATGGTTCTCCCTTTTGGATGACTTTTAATCGTTAGTAGCCTCTAAAATGAAGATCGCAGTAGAAGTAGTGAAAGATCTTTGATACTGCGTCCTATCGACAGTCTCGGCTATATGGATCTATCTAGTAGTAGATGAAGTTATTGAATATTATAAATATGTTCTTGTTACTATATATATGTATCCATCAAACTACTTTATGAGTTCATAACTGAACGTAGGCCTCTTTAAAGCGGTAGGGGAGTTTCACCACTACTCACACTTCAGTGAGAGCGGTGTCTTTAGTTGGCTTGGTTGCCGTCCATAGCCTATAAACAGTTTTAAAACCCAGTTTCTCTGAAGGCTGCCACTAAATATAGAATACAAAAATAATTGAAAGATAAAAAGATTGAATAGACATGGATATGACAGTAGAGGAAAGACTGGAAAAACTCATATTTTAATATACTCGACCACTTTGCAATAGAAAGAGTCTGCTATAGTTCAAGGAGTTAACTAGACAAAAGTAGTTATTGAGTTGTATTCTCCTAATCTAACCTGTTAATTTTATTACAGACAGCTTCACTTATTGCTATCCTAAACGTGATTGATCATATTAATGACGACGCTTTACACAATATCGTATTGGGCAAGGTCAAAATAATGCTCGAAAAGAATCAATGCGATGTTAAGATTATCAGCTTAATCCTTGGATTCTATGAAAAAGTGCTCACCCGCCTGGAACGAAATCATGTTCTCGAACTAGTAATCCCCACTCTGCTGCTCATGCGACTAAGTGACCCGGACATTATTAATCGGGTAGTCAGTAAGTATAATTGGTATAGCCATCGACGAATTTAACTTGCTTTTACCTAATTTTATATCTCTAAATTATATTAAAATGTCTTAGAATATATAATATGCATATATCTAGTACTGAATTTAATAATCAAGAACATGTTTTTGCAAATGCCAAATCTTTTTCGCTAGATTGTTTTTCTTATTTAACTTTGGTGCGACTTAGATTTAAATTACATTTATATTTTTGAATTAACATAGGAAAGCTGGCGCTTATTTTCTATGTGAATAAATTTTACTTATATCATTTATTATTATGTGTTACTGATGCTCAGCGACTTGAAAAGATGCTGTTGAATGTATTTCGCATTGCGGTAATGTAGTTTTAAATATTATAATATACTTATAAAGTGATTTCAATGAAAGCGACGTGAATTAAATTTAAAAAAGACTTATATTGATTACAGAACTTTATAAATCCATACTAATGGAAAGAAAATTTGGCTTAACGACCAACGTCATGGCGACAAAGATGATTCCTTCTCTTGCACCCCAAACGGTTAATCCGGCTTTGAATGCTGATCAATTCACCAACCTTATGGAGGTAAGAAACAAAAGTTAACTTATATTCGTTTCTTTTTACTCGCCTATTTCGTTACCGTAATGACGTTAACCGCACACTAGACTCCTCCTGTACAGTGAAGGCAGTTTCATAATCATTGCAGCCGTTCACAAGTCCACTACTGAACATAGGCGTCCCCCAAGGAATGCCTTTGTGGCACAGTCCTGAGCCATCTGCATCCATCGACTTCCTGCATGTCTTACCAGGTCGTTACTCCATCTAGTGGGGGTTGCCCTACACTTGCCTACTTGTACGGGGCTACCACTCGAGTTCCTTTTTTTCCATATCGTTTGTCGGTTCTTCGAGCTATATGGCCCGTTCCGGTCACTCTAGTTCTACTGCAGATATCCTCATTTTTAAGTTTATCCCGCAGAGAAACCCCGAACATAGCCATCTCTATAACTCGCTGAGCGACCCTGAGCTTCCTTATACTGCCAGCAGTGAATGATGAAGTCTCAGATCTATAGGCAACACGCACTGGTTGTACAATCTCGTTTTCAAGTTTTGAAGTGTACCTTACGATATCTATCCAGCCGAGTTGAATCCGTCGATTGACCTATCGGTCTAAGTTGGACTTACCTAGTCGGAATATTTGGTAAACATACTCAGCAACGATCTTTTTTTAATTAATTTTTCTTCACCATTTGTCTATATTACTTATTCTGAATATTCTCTGCAAATTTTACCGCTTATTACAAAATAATCCTGTATAAATTAACACGTTCTACCATATGCACTACAATTTGGCGGCATAAATAAACGTGCGCCTGGTACGATGAAAATATATAAAAGAGCTCCTAGTATGATGGAATTCAAAAAGCGCCTGGCAATTGTACTACCGCAGTTTGTTAACTATATATCTATTAAAATGTAATGTTTTAATTACTCAGATTTAAAGTACATACTTTATTATACACTATGGAAATCTAACGATATTTTATAGAGATAATAGCAGCGGAATAAAGTTTATGAAAAAAAAAAGAAGAAGAAAGACAAATAATTTTTTTACTATAAAATAATATTTTTCTAATAAAATAAAATTTATATTATTGCACAACTCGAACGAGAAACGGACTACCCACTATAACTAATTCTTGTTTATCATCATTGACTAGCTGTGCCTCACGGTTTCATTCGCGTATATCACGTGTCTGAGCCGCGTGACATGACGTGGCACCTAGTTCAAGCATTTTAGATAGCATATCGGCGACAAAAAGCTGGTGTAAACGAAGCTTCACAGCTTAGCTGAACGTCGCCAAGTTGCTTGTTTATTGGTCTTCTACAGATTGTACTTCAGAGAGTGTGCCCATGAGCTTTATAAGCTCATAGTGCCATCTCGATTCTCCTATTGGAGTACCAGACGTATTGCAGGTTGCCATCCACACTTGGTCGAGGGGGGGAGGGGGAGATGTTCACCCGCAAGAGAGAGGAAAAGTGGATTCGAATTGAATTGGATTAAATAAACGGACTGTTTTCGTTCGTTTATCGTTTCCGCAACTCCACGCTAAGCGCGTATTTTGCGGTTGGACTGGAATAATGTTTTTATTCGAGCCATGAAATCTCCTCGTAGAAGTTCAACAGTCCTTTGATGTTGCAAGCAACTTTGGGGAGTAATCCCGGCGTACTGAGATGTTTAGCCCTGTATACAGGGACCTCCTGACATGTCAGCAACATGTGGGCCGTCGTTTCTTTCTCCCTCATACCATGCTCAAGGGACTGTCCGTAACACCTATGGTAAATAAATGTTTGTTAAAGGTGCCGTGTCCTGTTATAGCATTTGTTACTATCCTGATCTGCGGCTTGTACAGTTTCATTAGAACCTTGTTTAAATGACTGTTTAATTCAGGCATGGCCTCCCTAGCTTGCCTACAGTCTACTAGATTTTTCCAAAGTTGAGCGTGTTGATTAGTGTAGTGTCTACGTACCAGTGAACGAATATTACCAAAGGGTACTAATCCCCTTATTAGTTCCGGTCCTATAGTGACCAGAGCTGATCCTCTTCTGGCCAGTTCGTCCGCTGCATCGTTGCCTCTGGATCCAGTGAGGGAAAGTGGATAAATTAAACTTCACTTTATAACGTAAACAAATCGAGAGATAAAGTGCTCCAAAAATTTTGCCAATTTTAGCTAAAATTATTGAACTGACTTCTCTCACAGATGATTTCACTGCTGGTTTCTCTCGGTTTTTATCAGGCGATTATGCGTAGTTCGTGCGCCGTGCTGAGTGTTGAATTATTTAAATTTTTCATTATCTCTTAAACTACGCGTCTAAAGTACATGCAATAAACAGCAAAGCAAATCTTCATAAAATTGTCTTGATGATGAAGTAATGTTCGTTTGTAAAGATTAATATGCCATGTCTAATAATAGCACTCATAAATCACTTTTTAATTTACAATCTTTTTTGTCTCAAAATACCTTGTTGTGGCTAATGTATAAGAAGTATATCATACTCGTACATAAATACATATGGTATCGCGGATTTAGTTTTAGATAGAGTAAAGATATATATATTTGTGGAAAATTGTATTTACATATCACTAACCATTATGCCAGCGCACGCGGATTTTTTTTAACTTACCTAATAGAAATCAATATTTAAGGCTAGCTAGCTAGATAAGGCGAAGTGTAGCCTAATGCTAGATAGCCTATGAATCTGGCTATAATATCCAAAAATAATTTTTCAAATCGTACTGATAGTTCCAGAGAAGCGTGTTTAAACAAACAAAACACAAAAAAAAAACTATTCCGCTTTATTATATTAGTATAGACTAGTATAGATTTGTTCAGGATATTCGGGTGCCTAGTTCTTACAAAATTAAGTCTGTTTTCTCCCGAATAATAAGAAGTGACACCATAGTAAATATTTGTACGTTATAATCTTTATCTACCAACCATTTTTTTCTTATAAATAATAATTTAGAAAACTAGGAACTTTTCCAACTTAATCAAACCTCCCAGTAATACTGTCGTTATTGCACTTCTATAAAACAAATTTAACAAACATAAAAATACTTAAAGACATAGCCATAACCTTATATTCATTTAAAAAAAATAAGCGCTCCAGTTTTGGAGAAATCAACAGGGGAAGACGGTCAAAGTCAAAACTTTTTATTCAATTTAGACTTAAATATAGCCCTTATGAACGTCGTAATCTACAGCGGTTCGCAAAAATAAGACCAAAAGAAGATAGGGAAGATCCGGCAAGAAACTCTGGCATCTTTTGTAAGCCATATTACACTTTTATTAACAATTACAAGCTATAAGAAAATAATACAATTTCAAATTTCAGCAAATATTATTAAAGTGTCAGTTTCAATAAAATCATTAGCCAGTTAACTTGCAAGTGCAAAGTAATAGTTATATCCATACATCATGGTATAATGATTTCGTCAAGCTTTTTTTAATAGAATAAAGGTGACAAACTTGCACATTGTCCACCCGATGGTAAATAGATGATGTGACCCATAGACCTCTACGTCTATCTTTAATAAAGAATTGAAGTGTAGATGCGTTGTTACCCTTAAGCACTAAGATGAAATGTCTCTTTTCCAGTAATAAGGATATCCAGTTCTCTGCATTCACCACATGAAACATAGCAGCATTAAGCAGCTATTTTACGCTGGTATTCTGTGAGAGGGTGGTCCTTTACTGGTCGAGCCGACCCATTAGAGCGTGATTCCACCACGTAAAAGGAAGCTCCAGTTATCTCTCTTAGTTTCCTAGTTCGGCAGTAGTTAATAAAATATTCTTAAAATTTCTTGCAGCACAGATATCCTCTTAAAGATTTATTATAAATATTATATGTTCTAGTAAAATACATTTTAAAGGTTTATTCAACTTAATACCCATTAGTGTCAATGTGTGTTTGGAAAAGGCTAATGAACGTTTATACCAGGATATGCTTTTTGGTATCCTTCCCTATTTTAGATTTTCTCCGCTAGTCTTAGAGTGATGTTCACTTACTTTCACTGGTGTCAGTAGTCCGTCTATTTGGAGCAATCGACTTCTCAGTGGGTTGATCTTGTGTCTGGTGTACTGAATTTTATCAGTTTTTATGAATTTTATCACATTTGATATTGAATATTTCTACTATCTGATATCGATAACATTCATAAAGTGATTGACAAATTAAATTCAAATATTAAATTAGTCCATGAATGACCTTATAGTCTAAGTTGGACGGTACATATCCCTAAAATAGGTCGGAATATCTCCGGCGCCTTACGATAATTTTAATCGCTTTAAAATCTTTCGTTTAATACACACACATTCTCGATTCGCTGGGAAGAATGCCGAAAAGCATTAAACTCGCCAAAATGAAAAGGAAAATAAAAAAAATTCAATTTAACGAAATCCAACTATTCGTATTTTTTAAACTTCGCTAGTGTCTGGTAATATATCACATATTATTAAGATCTTAAGCTCATGATGATGATTAAGATAATCTGTATAATATAAAAATATGAATAATTTGTAAATATAGATTTACATAATGTCTCTATGACAATTTTCTCAATACTTACGCATAAACACAATTTATTTATATAATAATACATTCTGGTTTTGTTATAAATAAAAGGTATAAGAATTAATTTTTTTTTCAGATATTATATGATATGCTGGATAACATTGACCATAACCAACGTTACAAATTAAAAATGGATGGGTTAACATTGCCAAGCCCTGAACGTCATAGGCCATTACGCCATCAAATGAGCACTGATAATATGAACGCTCCGCCATTCAATATCCCCAATTTACGTGTGGAGCAACGTAAAACATCTAGTGCTGAAGACATGGCCCGCAAGAACTCAGTTAGTGGGCCAAGTGCCACTGGAAGTGTTGGAGCTTTTAAAAGCAAATTCTCCCTCGGTAGGTTTTCATAAATAAATAAAAATCTAAATTGATTTGTGAGCAACTTAAAATTAATTTCATCATCTTCATAACGACTTACGAAGAACATTTTTGGATAACCAATTTTTTTATCATCAGCTTACATTATAGTTAATAATTTCTTACACAGGTACTGGAATTGGTCAATGGTTCTTTGGTTCAAGCAATTCCACGAACAACGACAACAATTTCTTACGTGTCGGGAGTGCTTTTCCCAATCGCCGTCTGTCTGATAATACTCTAATGACTCCCAAAATTCGCATTGCTCCATCTTGCGCTTCGTCCCCAGGCGGGACTCCAGGAGGTAATTCAGGCTTACCAACACGCCGTCATTCAAGCATTGGCCCTCAAGAACGCCGTGGTTCAGCCGTTAACCTATCACCACCAACCGTAAGTCATAATAAAATATTTTCTTCCTTTTACACCATCTGTAGCTTTTATTTATTTTGTCCTTGAAGCATTAAGTAGGTAATGCATTGTGTGTTGCTACGGTAACCGATGGTTTTCGTGATAATCGTCATGTGTCGGTATTATTTTGGCAGGGTTACCAGTTCAGAGGACGAGGTGGTTCAGGCTCAAGTCTATCAGTGCCGGCAGCGTCACATTGTGTTGTAAGTGATGAACGTCTCGTGCACCTGCCTGGCAGTGCATCGTCGCTGAGCCCTTTATTGAATGTCGATTCGGAATTGCTTAGTATTCTATGTGGTCTATCCTCTTCTGCGGTTGCATCTTCTTCCCAAACAGACAGGGAGAGATTATGTGTCATCGTTCATTCTATCATCTCACCCATACATTTGCACGAACCTGGTTGGCGTTTCTATCACACGTTGCAAACTTTATCCGTCTGATCATTAATCGTCTCATCACATCACATTAACGCTGATACTTCTATTCCTATGAGATCATTTCAAACAAACTTAAGAAATATGAAGTTATGCATGCCCCCTAATTCTGTGAGTGATGCATGAGAGCCTCGTAAGTGAAAAATGTGTTCGTCCGATCCATGGAGGAGTGTTAAATAATTACAAACTTATATGAATAATAATATACCTCGTTTATGATTATTCATTTACAGCTGCCTCTGTCGATTCAGTGTTGTCTTCTAAAGTTGTTTCAATACCCGACACCGACTAATTGTATAAGGATATTTTGTGTTTAATTATTCTAAGCTGTTTTAACAATCATATCATTAGTTTAACAAAGACTACGCAATATATGTTGATGGTAATTTTAGCATAACTATTAATGGTTGTACGCCGTCAGTAGTTCTTAAGTACGCTTTGCGGCCAGGCACTAGAAGTTGTAAGTAAAATATAATATGAATGTTATCATTTCATCATCAAAATGGCTTTGAGCCGTATGTATAACGCTGTCTCATTTACTGTTGCTATTTGTTCTTCTACGCAGCTTGCACGGAGCATGATCGTGAGTATGACACATATACTAAATGTTCGTCGTTTCAGATCAAGCGGTTCGACTTTGCTCTGCTCTAACCACAATATTTCGTATCTCATTTCTGTATAATACTTTCTAATTATGTGATTAGATGTTGCTAGTATTTTCACAACTATCTAATTAAAATTTTTCAAAAGTTTAATAGAAATATCAAAGCTTATTGATAGAAAGAAAAATATCAATGTCAGGGAAAAGCTTTCCTTTTCGATTTTTATTACCTTTACCTCTTTAATTAGCAATACGATTAATTGTAGTGGGTTATAAAAAAGTAAATGATAAACGCAAATACTGGCAACTTGTAAATGATAATACATGTAGATTAAAAATGAGCCCATATTACATTTTGTGCTAAATCAGTCATGCTTTAAAATGTTGAAGAAAATGAAGCTTCTTTTTATATTAGCATGCAGTAGTGGTTCTAATATTTGCATTGGTTTGTTCCGTAAAAGGTATGGTTACGAAAATATTTGATAAAAGCATTTGCTAATTATGCTTTCGCTTATCTCATATTTTATAATAAATATTGCTTAAATTGATGTCTAGTTACAGACCAACAAAAAGTCAGAAAGAGCACAGCGTATGTATTAAGTAACGCAAAAGCCAATCTGAAACAAACCTCAGATTATTGTAAGAACCCGCAATCATATAAAATATACCCACATCATATACATATATAACCACAACATGGCTTAAGATTCAATTGTGAGCCACCAGCAGTAAACTTATACCGGCTGTAAAACTAAGAAGGTAGTAAGATGCGTGTGTGAGTGTATGTTAATAGTTGAGCATGGTTTTTGCGTCACTTGAAAATGAACGCTGCGCTTCGTCTATCTTTTTTTTTGAGTCTGAAATATTCAGAATGATTAAAACAAAAACAATCAATAAAGTGCTTACATTAATGCTTCATAAAGCAAGATAAAAGTATCTAACGAAGATGCAAAATCGACAATAAATGTTCCTTGCGTTTATTTATAAAGATTTTGTTTTGAAAAATATAATAAATCGTAAACCCTATATAAAATCAAATGAAAAATAGTTGTTCCTCCCAGATGTACGAGAAGTTATTTTTTTAAATATTTGATCCGTTTCAATATTAAGGTAAAATTAAATATTTTTAGCTTAGCTGATTTTTATCGTTTAGGGTGTAGGATATAGCTATAGATTATTAAAATAACAATTACAGATTTAACCGCTTTTTATTATTTGTCGCTGAAGGTTTACCCTAAGTAACTAAACGATTAAAAGAAGACAGTAAATTTTTTAAGATGAATGATTATCAAATAACTTTCCATTGCTTATACACAATACTTGTTATCGTATATACTGCATAATATTGTCGTTATAATAATAATATTGTTTTTTATCTGTGCAACATAGGGTGGTTCTATGCCAAATACGTCATCAAGCGTTCCGTTCCTATTGACTTCATCGATGCAGTCTATCCGATCACGGCGACCGTCAGCGTGTATCACCGGCTCTCAAGGCTCCGGAATACTACAACAGCTCAGCAGCGGCATGGTAAGACATCTCCCTATGGGCTCTCGCAGCAGTATGCAGGCACACCCGCATGCACCATTAGGTGCAATTCAAAGTGCCACATCAGCTGGATACAGCGCACTACAACATACAGCAATGGCTGTTCGAAAATGCCCTTCGCTAAATATTACTCTCACACGTTAAATACGCTGAGTTAGCCGCTGCACACAACTAGAAAAAGTGGCGGCTCTTTAGCTCACCGCGTTATTCTTCACATCGTAAGAGCAAACCCTAGCTGTTAGGATATCTTTGCACTGCAATCAGATCCTCACCAGTAGAAATTCTACATAACATCAGTAATCTTCAACGAACAACGGCGATCCCCGTCCGATCCCTCCATGTTCAGTAGTTACATCGATGTTGTTTCCGTAATACCACCTTTAATTTATTTGCATTTTTTTTTATAAGACCTGTGTTTAGTTGTGTATGATATTTAAACAAAACGTCGATTATGTATTAAAGCGACAATGTTGGACAAAGTATTAAATTTCTTATTTGAATATCTTATTGGGAGTATGAAAAGTGTAAAAAATGGGAAACACTGTAAGCTTTAATTGATAAATAATTAACATATCACCTTTCGGACATTATAAAAATATATAATATTATGATAACATGTCCAATTTTTAAATCGAATAATAAATTTATTAACAAAATATTACCAACTGTTTATATACAGCAAAGTGTTGTATATGATTCTGTGATATGATGTTGTTGAATTAGGGACTATTAGAACGATAAAAGTACTTTTTTTTAAATAATATATAAAAATTAGGCGCAAGATAAATAAATCTTTTAAAAACAACCCAAAATGTGCCAAAAATCAAAAATATCACAAGTTTTGTACTCTACAGTGAGGAATGAAATGGGTCGGCATAAATGAATTGCAATTGTTAACGCTCTGCGTACACTTCAATTTAATTGAAAGGCCTACACCGTCATAAAACGTAAAAGGTGATATATAACAGTTCCAGGAACTACAATAAAACTGTTCTCATAATTAAAAACGACAATCAAATTTGTCGCGTATACGTAATTGTATTTTAGAGGTACAGAAAAGTTTGCCTCTTTGCAATTATTTTTAAATATTATATGCGTTCAAAATAATTTTAATAAGTCCCTTACAGGGAGTTATAACTGAAAAAAAAAACAGGTACAGGCCTGCTTATATGCATATACTTGTAAGTCTTCTATGTTTGAAAATGAAACGCACATCATCATTAATGAGACCAATTTAACAGCGATATCTTAGGATAATGATGAACATCTGTTGGAGTAATTTATTACTTGGATGAATTCAATGTATACGGTTGATCCTAAAGTATCTACAAATAAAGTATAAATTATATCACGCGCATTTATTATTGACTATTGAGCAGTATTTCTTTCAATTGTAAATTAAAAATAATCAAGTATTATCTTTGTGGCGAAATTTCGCCATTGTAATGAATATATATTTCTCGGATAAATGTTTACTACACTGTTACGAAGGTATTATAATTGATATTGTATCACCTGAAGGTTAATGGAACATAGTTTTAAGATCTCTTAAATTTTCTAGTAATTTCTAAATATAATTGACGACTCAGATCACGCCAGACATTACGATTAAATATAACATGTTTTGTATTTAAGGACCGGAAAATGAATGCAGATTTGTTGTGGAACTGTCAACACCTTTTCATGTTTTTCTGTTATACTTTGTTACGATAAACGGATTTAATTCACTCAATTGTTGTGATTTATTAGATGTTGTTTCACATTAGAACATTTATTTGATGTTTAATTTTAATGGATGTTTAATTAGATTCTCATTAAGGCATCAGATTTAATTCCGATATTTAGTACACGATCTATTATTTAGCCCAACTTATGTAGTAATTTAAACATTTACTATCATAATTTGTTTTATTTGCTTTTTGTTAGTGAACACGTGTACGCTGTGTAGATAATTTGGATTTGCTAGTTTGGTTTTTGATGGTTGCATTGGCTGGAATTGCAGAGTAGTTTAGTTTAGAGCTTTTAGTGGAGCGGGCGGGCGGGGGTCGGAATCTCCGGCCTATCGCGCTTTGGTTTTAATCACTCTTTGTTGTGGTTGCTTGCAGTACCAGCTGTTTTCTGGGCGTACGTAAAGAGAAAATGATTAGCGTTAAGGCCGGGTAGCGTAATCGGGAGCGGCCGGAGGAAGCGAGCATCGCGCAGTTTTGCCGCCACCGCCTCTCCGCCCGTCCGCATCTCGACACATCGCGCCCCCACTGCAACCATAATTATGTTTCCATCAACATTCCATAGACATTCCATATTCAAAATGATGCACTTACTTACGGAGGCTACAGAAAGACCGTGACATATAAATTAGCGCTACGTTCATGAGGCTCAAGGAACTCGAGTTTTTTGTTACGCGTGACAGTCGCACCAGCAGTTTCATACAATCAATAATGTCGTGCATTTATTTAATTTTGTTATTATTATCATATCATGCGTTTTGTTATCTGAATCAATCAATTTTACGCTAATATGTTTCGCGCCTTGCACGATCATTTGCATTGTTTCACTTGAGAATTATGCTTGAATTTCTCCACCATCGCTTCCTCTAATTTGTCGACCGAAAATATCGCTCAGGCTCCGTTTATTGAAACAAAGCAACAATGTATTAAAAACAAATAAAACATTTTAATTGGTATTAAATTAATAAAAAAAATTAAATATATACAATTTTAACATAAGTTTTAAAACAAAAGTTTAAGCCTTATATTATTTTTATAAATAAGCGATTTTATATTATTTTAAACGTGTTTCAGTTAGGATACACTGATAACATCATGTTAATCAAAGATCTGTTGTGACCATTTAAAAGTAGAAATTATAGAAAAACAACACATACAACATTTAAAACGATTGTACAAAAAAAATATAACAGTCGCCTAATCACAAAACTAGTTCAATTGGTTTTTAATGGACCATGGGCTATATAAACAATTTGAAGCAATTGAATTTAGGATGAAAGACATATGTTCCCTTGATGCAATCACCCTGAACTATGACTGGAAACTATTTCTGTTGGAAATGAGCAAATGATGTAATAATAATAATAATAGGAACTAAAACAATAACAAACAAAAGTCACAGTGTAAAAATCTAATAGATTACAAAATAAATAAAGCACATCTAAAAATTGTTGAAAACTTCGTAAATCATATTTCTTTTCAATGTGTATATTTTTGTTTTTAATATCAGTCCCAATTAAAATACGCCCTATTTTTATATTCATAAATATATCTATAAAATTAGGTGGAAGTATTTATTTATCATTATTATCGTATGAAAGAATAATATTTATAGATACCTAAGATTGTCCAGAAAGTGAGAAATAGTGGTAAGCAAAATATTTTGTTTGATTTGTAAGTACTTTCTGTCTACAGGTGTAGTAGACGTTAAACTATTGTTAGAATTATTATTTAATTTCTTGATAAACTTTTTAAACTCTTTGAAAATGCCTTGGCTATTGACTTTTAGGTATTTATCATTTAAAAAGCCGTATTTATCTAAATGCACTTTAAATCTATTAGTAATGTTTTTTGTCTTAGAGAGTATATTACCTGTTAAAACCTAATTGTGATGTTAATTGTTAGAAATATTGCAAATCGAGGAATGTGAACAGTATTTAAAAGTTCCCTAAAATTTTTCTATATGTAAGATGTGTCCAAGTACCTTTTTAGTTTTATTGATAGTCATGTTAGTAACAGACACAGTTATTTTTTCTACAATATTAACAATTTTGTATCCGTCATACGACGATAAATTTCTGATTATATGTAATAATATGTCAAAAGTCTATAATATGCTGTTACTTACGTATTATATATTAACATTAACACTTTTCAGGGTTGTGGAGTTTTGCTCAGTATTTGTGATGTATGAATTTATAAACCTAATATATGAGTATGTATAACACACAAGCATAATTCCTTTTAAAATATTCTATGTGATCTTATAATTTTGGCTACATGTTGTACTTTCACTAGTATAATACATTTTTTTAATACATCGTGTGCTCTCTTGTGATCTTGTTCTATAAAAAAACTTTACTCGACTGCTATCTTTTTAAGATGAAAAATAATATTTGACAATACTTTTGTAGAACCCTATATACTTCTTGCTTCTTACGAAATATAGTCTTCATTAAAATTTAGATAGGAAACCATTTGTATGGTTGAGCTTAATTGGTGAAATTTTGTATATAGTATTTAAATGTTTTTACTTCGTCTATTCCCCTTATCTTATAGGTATAACATGTTGCCTTAAATCATTTTTTTTTCATATCTTCGTATTATAATACCCTTACACAAAGCGTTGTATCAAAAATAATAGATCGACCATACTATTTTTGTTATATTATTCTATCTATATCCATTGTTGACTGTTAAGGAAAGAACAAAAGATGGTTGGAAAGAAATTGCATTAAAATGACGTAGAAATCATCATTAAATATTACTTTCATTCAAAACTCATTCTATTAGTTATCACTCATATATAATAGCGACGTAGTTTAAGAAAGCTTTCAATGTATCGATATTTATATAGTACCTGTCTCTTTACATGATAAATTTGAATCTTTATATTCTTGTTACACTATCGTAGTTTCATTGGAAGTATTTTCATGGGATTTTATGAAATATATCATAATACGAAAGAATTAAATAGGGTCTATTTTAAATAATCAGGAAATATTATAAATTATATGTAGTAATCAAAAAGAACAATATTTAACTTTACCTGAAACAATCATTACTTGAATAAAAATTGTGTGTTGAGAAAAATATAAGAAATATTATTCTAATAATAGAGTTTACGATTTAATGTTGCAAAATATCAATAGTTTAAAAATGGTTGTATTTCTGTCAGATGATCAAAGTTTTCAAAATATATTCTATTATTCTATTATAGTAGGTTGAATGTCTCAAATAAGAATTAAATATCGTTAACATAATCAATACTTAATCACTAAGTGATGATTTATTGAATAAAAAAAAATATATTAAATGTTTTGACATAAATAATTAAATGTCTTTATATGTATATTACCATAGGTATTTATGTTGTCAATCGCCGTTCAATATATGTCTACGTGAAAATGTATGTAGTGAAATAAATAAAATAATATCTTAAAATAATACTGTATTTTTATTTATGCCATTCTTATTTATTCGTTATTTTTCCATTTATAAATAATTTATAATGTTTAAAATTACTATAATTTGTAGTATTAAAAATATTTATAATATTTAAGTCATTATTAAACTGCTTATGTTGCTTTATCAAAGTTCAATATTTAATTTAGTGATTCCATAATCATATTCTAACTAAAACTCTAGACGGCTATTTCTTTAATCATGATTTATTAAGAAGGCTTTTAAGAACTCCATGAAATAATAAAGATAAACTTGGTGATGTATAATATGCACCAAAAATATGAAAATCAAACTTAGAAAAGGGTAAAAATTATTATTATAAAAAACATAAAGTTTCTTGAATTGCAAACTTCAATTGTAAGGAACGGTCGATACTTCTTTCGACATTGTAACCCATAAAATAATACGACAAAAATAAACAAGAAAAAAGTATTTTGAAACTTTCGTCGCTATTATTACAGCTCTTCACAAGTCCGCAGCCAATATAGGCCGCCTCAAAGGAATGCCGCAAAGAACGGTCCTCAGTCCTTAATCAACTTTCTGCATCTTTGACCTTTAACTTCGTTTATTGGTGCGAGGCTGCCACTAGAAAACTTTCTACCTTTCTGTAATTTGTAATTCTAAAGAACAACACAAAAAGCAGATAAACTGTAAAGCAGTAATTAAAAGACAAATACAGTATACAGTGATAAAACATAATTATCAAAAGTAGATGAGTAGATGATACAAATTTTTTATTGCACTCTTAAACCCATAATAAGAAAAAATCTGAAAAATGGTTGACCCTGCAGGCCATCCCTCGAAATTCTCGCCTATTTATATATATATATATATATATATATATATATATATTATTAAACGATTATTTAGAAAAATTTTAATAGTAAGAATTTTTTAACGACTCGTTTGATTTGGTTTGCTAGGCGGCATTCGACGCATTTTTTTAACTACAATAATTCTTTATAAAGTCTTAAGTCAAGAAATCGGAGATTTTAAAATTTATTTAAAAAAGAAAACAATTATTAGAGATGTTTAAGGCCTATAATTTTTGAACGTATCGTTCGATTTTGACTAGCTTGACGGCATTTGACGCAGTTTTGTAAGTACAATAATTTAAAATTAAAAATGTTGTGCAACCGACTTCAATATAATTAATTAAAAATAACTTACAAACCTTTGGTCAGACCGTGATCAAATTTATATGAGACTACATGTGAAACACCAGCCTTCAAATAAATAAAGCACCATCGAAATCGGTTCACCCAGTACAAAGTTATGAGGTAACACACATAAAAAAACATACAGTCAAATTGAGTACCGTTTTTAAAGTTGGTAGAAAATGGTTTGCAAGGTCTTGAGTTAATGGATCGAAGAATTTAAAAGTTATCTCAAAAACGATTATTTGTAAAAATGTCAATAATTTTAGTGTCACGCACGCACGTACGCACGCACTATCGCAACGCCCATCTCTAATTACCTAACGTTATCAATATAGTGTTATTGATTTATATAATTCCTTATCCCTTATCAGAGAAACTGTTTCTTCACTTATACTTACTTGCAGTTAAAACCTTATGTCTGTAAATTATGTTTTTAACTGTCATCAGAATTAAATTTGCAGAAAGAAAGAAATTTCACTTTTGTTATAGGATAGGGTGACAAACGACCATACAGTCCACCTGATGGTAAATGATTGCTGCGGCCCATAGACATCTACATCTATCCTCGTTTGCGCATCAAAATGCAGATGCGTTGTCACCCGTCAGGACTAACATGGAATGCGTCTTTTTCAGTAAAAAGGGTCTCCTGTTCTCTACACTCACCATAAGAAACACAGCAGTGTTAAGCTGCTATTTTACGTTAGTATTCTGTGAGAGCGTGGTCCTTCCCCGGTCGAGCCGACCCATTCGTGATATAACTGTACTACTAATATAGCTGTA